GTTGAGCATGGACTGAAATGTTCTCATATATTTCAGGTATTGGCTTTATGCAGCTGTAAGACTCAGATGCCTGCTTGTGACAAATGATGAAATGCGGGATCACATTTTTGAGCTCCTTGGAAGCAATTTCTTTCTCAAGTGGGAAGAAAGACATCAGGTCTGTGTCCACTGAAGAACTTGTTATCATTAATCTTCCCTTTTCTCAATATATTAAAAATGCATTTGCCAAGAATTGGCATCTTATGTCTTATATTATCACCATGTATTGGTTTGGATTTCTTGTTGATTTTTTTTAAATGCCTCATATGGATGATAGTTGCATGTTCTAATTGTAACATTGAACGTTACAACATCACATTTAAGTTGAGTTTGGCTAGGTATTGTGCCTGACATTTTATGATTACTGTCAAATAACTATTTAGTTTTCATCAATTGGCTTATCTTTTTGGCTTTTTTGCAGGCTCGATATACATTCCTGAAAGGGTCTCTTAAACTTCAGATGCCACCCCCATATTCTCTTGTCATTCAGGTATGATTGATATTTTTAGTTTCATTTTGTGGCATTTTCTACTTGATGGTTGGACCCTAATTGTCTGACTGTTTATTTCTGGGACCAGACTGTTAGAAATGGAAAAGAATCTCCTCTGCAAATAATTTATTTTCTCCTTCCATATTTCCTGTTACTTATGGTTACTCCTGTTCTCCTTTTTGGATAGATTACAAAAACTCCTTAAATTAACTTAGTTAACTTTTCATTCTTCCCCTGAAACTTACACGTACTTTTCTTATAACATTGGGAAGTGGAACCTAAACTTAAGTCGTATAATCATACCCTGATATCCATTTTAAATCCTTACATTTGATATCCCAAAAATCTGTCTATTTAGTGGGACAAATGCAGGTGTCAAAGAAGGCTCTGAAAAATGTGGTAATATAATCCTGAAATGTTTTGATAGATTGTTTTCATTCAACATTGTGTTTTGGTCAAATTTGGTATTTAACTTCAAACCTCTTTAGAGGACTAGAGTTCTTCCGTGCATTCAGTAAGGACGTTATGTTTCAACCTCTGTTTCAGGAATCAGAAAAAGGGTCATGGCATGTGCCCATAACAGGAGGAAGCAATGAGGAGTCTAGTAGAACATGGCTCTGTATTACCAGGCCAGCTGCATGTCAGGCAAAAGGTGAAGCTGCAGCAATTC